GTTTACAGAAGCAAGCGACGCAGAGCAGAACAATGGAGGAGAGAAGGGAGAAGTGGGTCGGTAGTAATGGACTCTTTTTTCTTTTTTTAATATCTTTAGTAGGTAAAACTTTAATAAGGGTACAATTGTACTTTTAGCCCCCAAAATGGCTATATTTCATCTTTCTTACAAACATGGCTATATTTCATCTTTTGAATCAAATAATGGCTAGATATAGGCACTGATTTTTTATTTTTTTTTCAATTTTTGTTGATAGATTAAAATATTTAATAAGGGTAAACTTATCATGTTAACCCTTAAAATGGCTACTTTTTATTTTATTTACAAACTAGTGCGGTACCCGTGCGATGCACGGGCTAGTAATATTAAGGAAAATATTTTGGTTTAGATGATGGAATCATTATTCAAAACATAAAACACATTTATTAGAATAAAAGAAAATATTATTTATATATTATTAATCATCTCCTTGTACACAACATTTTTTGTTTGAGTTTTGGTATATCGTTATGGCCACAAATTAAAATCTTCTAATATTCTAACTCTAATGATTCGTAACGTGTTAAACAACTAAATGCAATTGACCGTACTGAACATTGATTTCTTCAAGAACATACCAACAGACCGTACTGAACATTGATTTCTTCAAGAACATGCCAACATGCGATATTTTTTTCTTTTATTTATTTATTTTGGCATTTGACATTGTATGTTTCTTCCTCTTTTAATTTTTTCATTGCATTTGATATGGTATCTCTTAATGGAATATAGCAATTTTTGTTTTAAAATTTAAATCAGGAGTATATATCACATTTAGTGTGCTGAAATGAATTGTAAAAATTGATTTGTATCTATATCGGGCTTACTGTTTGAAGCAAGTGTTATATTTAGGCTTAACAATTGTTAGTATAAATAAATCTCTTAGGATATAATATTTTTGGTAGTAAATCAAACGGTACGTTAAATAAGCGAACGGTATAATATGAAATAAACAAATGAAAGAAACATATGTGATAATTGAATAGTTTAGAAAAAATCTTTTAAGATATCAAAGATGTTCGTCCTTTTTTTTTTTTTTGGCATTTGATATTGTATCTCTTAATAAAATATAGCAGATTTATTTTTTTTAAAAAAATAATTTGGTAGTATTTCTCTGAGTGTAGTTCAAAATTTTTCCTTGCTGTAAATTCTTCAGTTCGTGGATGATTTATAGGTATTCAGTGTTGCATACACCGTTATTTTCATGTTGCTGCATAAAATTATGATTTTTTTTTATTTTTTTTTTATCAAAAGTATGGTGTTGTGATGTATTTAATAGAGTTAGAGAAACAATAAAATACAGAAAACCTACCTCGAACCATATCTTTCATCAGCCAAACAGTTGATACCCATTTATATTAGGGCTGTAGACATGATTATTATAATATATCAAATATTTAGTAGAATATATAGGGGTTTTAAGAATTTTAATGATGTATAAAATTTTAAAACATATACAACTAAACTGAATGTTATGTTGAAATATATAATTTTTTTATAATAATACTCTTGATTTTTTTCCCATATTTAATGGATTTATGTATAATAATTTTAGTATCATAGGAAATCATATATATAAATTTGTACTGACAAAATGTATTTTGACCATATGCTTCACTGCGTTTCGGGAAAAAAAAAAAAGAACATATGCTTCACTGCAAAATACAATTTTATTTTTAGAAAAATAAAATTTTATCTTTTATGTTATTTATTGTTAATTATTGATTTATTTGATAATATTTTATGCCAAAAAAATCTATACTTTTGAAGCATAATACATTCTCGATTTATTAATGCGATTGAATCGGTTTATGTCCAAATTGAATTAGTTTATGTCCAAGATGTATTTTATGAAATGGAGTTAGTATAATACATTAACGATTTTATAAACCTATAAATACAATTATTGACATATGTTTAATGAAAAAAATATAAAAATATATCTTTAATATATATATTGTTTGACTAAGATCAAGATTATTTATCATTANAAAAAAAAAAAAGAACATATGCTTCACTGCAGAATACAATTTTATTTTTAGAAAATAAAATTTTATCTTTTATGTTATTTATTATTAATTATTGATTTATTTGATAATATTTTATGAAAAAAAATCTATACTTTTGAAGCATAATACATTCTCGATTTATTAATGCGATTGAATCGGTTTATGTCCAAATTGAATCAGTTTATGTCCAAGATATATTTTATGAAATGGAGTTAGTATAATACATTAACGATTTTATAAACCTATAAATACAATTATTGACATATGTTTAATGAAAAAAATATAAAAATATATCTTTAATATATATATATTGTTTGACTAAGATCAAGATTATTTATCATTACTGTTACTTATCACACATATTTTTATTTAATTTTACACGAAAAAATCTATACGTATTAAGTATAATATGTTATGAATTTAGTATTTACTGTATTGATAGTATATCCTTAACTTATTTGTCTATAACATTTAAAAAAGATATGCTCAAAGAAATGGTGTTTGACATTTAAAAAGGATATGCTCAAAAAATTTTGTGAGATATATTAGGATAAGATTTATACGTTTGAATGAAGATATATATGACTTAATTCAAAAGTTATTAACAATTCCAACTGTTATCTATAAATTGGGATTTATAGGCTTGAATGAAGATAGGATTTGCACTGAAATAAATCCACACGGTTTGCAAGAAATTTGGGATTTGATTTTTATCTATAATCTAAACTGTTATCAAAATTGGCCACTAACTAAAATTCAATAAATTTCTTAGATTTTTAAATATATTCCACAATTAGCAAGTCAAAGTTTTGACTCAATTATTTTAGGTTTCCAAAAAAAAATTTAACATCAACCTTTTTACATATATATAAATATAGATATATATATAAATATAGATATGGATACGCTAGAATTCATTTTTTTCTTAAAAAAAAATGGCTAAACAAAAGGAGCTCTGTATTTTATTTCACATAAGCTCACATTTCCTCCCTTCCCGTCCATCAAAATTCCTGCCCTACAGGTGTACAATGTTTGCAACGAGCAGAAGGTTCCTTGAATCTCTCCTTCCCCACCCTTCTAAAATATATGTTCTTTTAACCATCCCATATTTACAAAGAGAATCAATCTCTAGTTGAGAGAGAGAGAGAGAGAGAGAGAGAGAGAGAGAGAGAGCGAGAACAGGGAACATTGGTTTTTGAGTTCCGTACGACAATGGCGTTCATGTCTTTTCTCGGTAGACTGCTATTTGTCTCTGTATTCGCGCTCTCTGCTTTTCAAGAGTAAGACACCTGCTGCTCATTTCTTCTGTTTCCTTTTACTTTCTTTTGTTACTGCCCCTCAAACCTTTTTTTTTTCTTTTTTTTGTTCTTTTTGCAATTCATCTCATGCTTGCATGTTTTTCATCAGATTGTGCGATTTTTGTTGGGAGTTGTGGCGGAAGGGAAAAAATATACGTTTTATTAGTTTCACCTGTTCCGATGAAATTTCTTAGTGATTATGTTTAGTTTGGAACTTGTATCTATGGGGTTCACAGTGAACTTTAAGTTAAGAAAAAAAAAACAGGAATATGTCATATAACTTGAGTTTATCAGCTATTTCTGTACTCAAATGTCCAGTTTTGTAATGGTTGCTTTTTCATTTACCTTTTTTTTTTTTCTTGTTTCACTAGGATGTGTTTTGCCAATGGTATTATGTATAACCAATTATGCCATAATGTTGACAATAATGTGCAAATTTTATCTGTAGAGAATTCTTTTCCCAATCTGCTCCATATTGTCTTGATTTGCAGAATAGTTGTCCTCTCCTATTACCATAGATAGGATTATAATGGATTGCAAAATTTTTTGGGTGAGGCGGTCTAACCATTAGGCGAGTTGACCCATCATACATTTATAAAAAATGTATACTAATACTATAAAATGTCATACTTTAGTTTATATTGATTTTTCGAGTATGAAATTTAGTTTGAATTAAGCAGATATGCTGAAAAAATATGTCTAACTAACTATTAGGTCTGCCTAACAATAACAAACATATGGGATTGATTATGGATCTTGGCTTGCGGCAGTTTATTTTTGTGCTAACTTGATGTGGACTATAGTGTATTGAGTTTGAGATGCAAGGTATAATGCTCGGTTTTAACAAAACATAACCCATATTCAACTGTAAGAGTATAAGAATGGATTATTTTAGTTTTTATATCATTGTCCGAAACCTTACTTATGTTGTTATTAGGATTTGTTCTTTTCCATGCTGCTTGTGAAGTTTGCTGCCACATCCTTTCTTTCTCTTTCTGTAGAGAACCATCAGACATATGATTAATCTGACTATATTTGTTTGTTGCTTTGCTGTGGCAGTTTCTACTTCATGTTTCCAAAAGATTTGACTTTTTTTAGATGGGATATATGTACTGAAGAAGACAACTGAGTGTTCGCATTCCTTTTCGTTTAACATGTTTGTATGTTATCTTGATATGCAAGGCTCATCAACTTCTCGTAAGTTGGTTAATGACTGTTCAACTCCACTTTTGCCTAATATGAGCTTTATCAAGCCATTGGCACAGGTAGCTGCATTTTATCTGTCTGCCTTTTTTTTTTAAAGAAAATTATAGAGTAACTCGACCTTGAGCTCTCTATTTTCCCTACCATTATCATGCTAGAGAGTTTGCTTATATGTGGAACATTTTTTATTCATCATATTTTTTTTTTTGTGTTTGTAGGTTCAATGAATTCGGAGCCGATGGCAGGCCAGCAGCAAAGAACTTGAGGCAGAATTTCAATGTTTTTGATGTAAGTAGATTTTCATGTAACTCGACTTTTAATACAATTATTTGAATGACATTCAGTTATGCCAATCTTAATAATGCATAAAATATGACACCATAGATGAAACATTTGATTTTGGCCGCTATTGCCATGAAAGCTGTCGGTAGCCTCCTGTTTGTCTTTGGCAGCTCTCTTGGAGCTTCAATATTGGTATGCGTATATGCCCAATCTTTTATGTACTAATTTTGTGATACCTATTTTTGTTAATCATGAGTTTACTTCTTATCCATTCAATACACAGCTTTTGTATCAAGCAATCTCGGCACCCGTTTTGTACGACTTTTACAACTATGATGCAGACAAGGAGGAGTTCGTTCAGCTTTTTGTCAAGTTTATACAGGTGCTTATTCAATCTGATAACTATGTTCTTCCTTTTTTTTTTTTTTTTNTTTTTTTTTTTTTTTTTCTGTTTTTTCTGTTTTTTAAGTGATAGTGTTTTTACAGCAAGTTTACTAATGTGTTGGTGATATAGGAGTGTTTTCAATACTATAAAACAAATGTGATTCTGAACTTTAGGTGTAAAAATGGAAAATTAAGACTGAAACTGAGATTTGCCTATCTGTTCTTTATCTTATCTTGTTTAATTCTCCATATTTATCTGAATTGACCATACTCATTTTCATCTTTTGACTAGAGTCTGGCATTGCTTGGGGGCCTGCTGTTCTTCATTGGCATGAAGAACTCAATGGCCAGGAGGTTGCTAAAGAAGAAGGCTACTAAAGCCAAAGCAAATTAATTAAGAGGGTATTTGTTGATGAGTTACTAGATGATTTCTTACAGTTTTACCCCATCATTATTTTGTAGAATTTTATACCTGCAAGTCTATCACGCATGCATTGTTTCATTTCTGCTTTTTATTTGGCCCCATTGTTTAATTATGCAGCCGTGGATTTTGGTTCGAGTGTGATGTTCTTGTTTGATCTCGTAGATGCCATTCCTGGAAATTTAGGTGGCCATGATTGCTCAATCGCTTTCTTATTTTTGTTTTTAGCTTTGCACAATGAATCTTGATGTATTTCAGCATCATTGAGTCAATCTGCATTTCATAATTGAGTTCACTTATATGTATTATATAAAAATCGATCGTAGGTCCCAGTGGTCCACAATTGAAGTTCAACAAGTTGTCTTTAGAGCATCTCCAATGACATGTGGATTGCTTTATTTTGTTGTCACATGCCACAATAAAACCTACGTGGCCTAAAAAAATTCTAGAAGTCTTTCTAGATGTAGAAGCACTTCTAGACAAATTCTACTATATATTATATTATTTATTCAATTCATTTCTTCTTTTCAATCAATTAGAAATTTACACATGTCAAATTAAATCATCTTTAACATTAACAATTGGAGACACAATTTCTTAATCTCCTTCTTTTATGCCATGCAACTCAAAATGGACAAGATACTGTCAAAATGGACAAGATACTGTTGGAGATGCTCTTATTGTCTTCTACATCAAAAAGTTGTANGCTGAATGGAAATCTCAAACTCATTTGACCGAGCAAAGGAGTTAAAAGCCTTCGACGACACAAAAGCCGGCGTAAAAGGCCTAGTCGATGCCGGAGTTGAAAAAATCCCCAAAATCTTCATTCTCCCGCAGGCCATCACAAACACAACCGAGAAAATTGACACCAATGGTTCAGATTTCGTTGTTCCAGTGATCGACCTCGGAGCAGACGAGCAAAACCGGGCATCTATCGTGAACAAAATCCGGCAATCATCCGAGAAGTTAGGGTTTTTCCAGGTGATAAATCACGGGATACCCGTTAGTGTGTTGGATGAGATGATTAGCGGCGTGCGCAGGTTTAACGAGCAAGCTTTGGAGGTGAAGAAGGAATACTACACGCGTGATGTCACGAGAAAATTCGTGTTCAACAGTAATTTTGATCTGTATTCAGCACCAGCTGCTAACTGGAGGGACACCTTTTTCAGCTTCATGGCTCCTAATCCACCTCACCCTCATGAATTGCCTGATTGTTGCAGGTATGTCATTAACAATTATTTGACTTTGGAAATATAATATTTAAAATCATAGGTTAGATAATGATCAATATCACATTTTATAAATTTTATTATTAATAAAAAATGAACAATATAAATGTATACTATTTAACTTAGATATGAATATATTTATTGATGCAATCTTCACTGATTATGATCATTAATCAGATAAAATACTATTAAAATTATTATTATAGCAATTATGTACGAAATTTTAAAGGATTTGGTTATATAATTAAAAATAATTGACTATTTTAATAAAAAAAACTCGCTTAGTGAGTTGAAAAATAATTAAAAATTTAAATAAATAATTTGAAAAAAACTTTAAAATATAACAACATTTAATGTGACTTTATTATTAATTAATAGTATCAATTATATTATTTGCAGGGACATTCAAATCGAGTATTCTAGACATGTAATGAGCTTGGGCTGCCGATTATTTGGCTTACTCTCGGAGGCTCTTGGCCTCGAACCTAATCGGCTGCTGGAGATGGAATGTGGCAAAGGTCTCACTTTCATCGGACATTACTATCCCGCGTGCCCACAGCCAGAGTTGACTTTAGGCGCAAGCAAGCATACAGATGATGGCTTTCTTACTGTGCTGTTACAAGACCACATTGGAGGCCTTCAGATTTTTGTCGAGAACAAGTGGATTGATGTTCCTCCTGTTCCTGGTTCTTTAGTCATTAACATTGGAGATATGCTACAGGTAAGTAATTAAGAGACAATTACCAAAATTTCATCTTTAACCTAATTAATTACAAAGAAAAATTAATCGTGTGAATCCGATTTTTCATTTTCTAGAGAAGGGATGTTTCATGATTATGATTTTTTGATATTTTTGTTCAGCTAATAACGAACGACAAGTTCAAAAGCGTGGAGCACAGAGTGTTGGCGAATCGGGAGGGCCCACGAGTGTCGGTTGCATGCTTTTTCAGCACATCCCTCATGCCATCCTCGAGGTTATACGGGCCAATCCAAGAATTGATATCCGAAGATAATCCAGCAAAATATCGAGAAACGACTGTGCAAGAGTATGTTTCCTATTCTTACGTCAAAGGTCTTGATGGGACTTCTCCTCTGCTTCATTTCAAGATCTGATTTGGAAATTGGCACACTGCATTTGACAAGGTGGTATAAAAATTGGAAAATACATTTTTAGAAGGCTGCCGTGTCAATTAGTTTGAACCGGACAAGCCACTCTGTATTGTTTCAGGCTTTATGAACGCAAAAAATGTGAATTATATAGTTCACCTTTATTATGAACGCTAAGAATGTGAATCCTTTCAGGCTTCTGAACATCGTTAGTTGAACTAGTTTTATCTATAGTTTCCATTAATACAAAGGTCAAAATATAATCTGTCATAATAATACTTTTTGTGATCCATTTGGTACATATGCATAAAGGGCTCAAAAGGTGAGCTTAGCTAGATGCAGGTAGAACATGAATTTTCTTCTTCAAACTCCGTATCTAAAGCTTAAAATTCTGCAAAGCAGAACTTCCATCCAATCCTCTGCTGCGAACATAATCAGTGTACTCACTGATCTTGATTGCTCGATACTTCGGAGGATTGTCTTTGGATGAAAGCTCTTCAATCGGACCATAGACTCGAGAGTTCATATCACAAGTATCTCTGCCAAAGAATGCAGCCAACGATGTTCTTGGACCCAAATGGCTAGCTAACACCCTGTGCTCCACGCTTTTCAATTTGTCATTGGATATAAGCTAAGNGATTTTGTCTGTTCCTATAATTTCAAAATTATGCATAGCAGATGATACTCCATGAAGCAACAAAATGGATAATAAATGAAGTAGAAATAACAAAAGATGAGTTGCCTGCAAAAGATCTCCAATGTTGACTACAAGAGCCCCTGGAGAAGGAGGAACATCCACCCACTGATCCTCATGCAGCACCTGAAGCCCTCCCAAGTTATCCTGCAAAAGAATTGTTAAGAAGCTGTAGTCCGAGTGTTTGGTCGTGCCTAAAGTTAATTCAGGCTGCGGGCATGAAGGGTAATAATGTCCGAAAAGCGCAAGTGTTTGAGCGCAATCCATGTCTACAAGGTGGTCTGGCTTGAGTTCAAGTGCCTCAGATAGTAACTTGAACAGAGATTTCCCCAGCTCCATCACATGCATTGCATATTCCATCAAAATATCCCTGCATGTGATGGTATTAGTTGTTACAAAATGCGTGTCGAAAAAATCTACTGGAAATGATCTTTACCTGCAAGCAAAAGGGAATTCCTGAGGGTCAGGTGGATAAGGAGCCATAATGCAATTAAAGGAGTCCCTCCAGTTAGCTGCGGCGGAACTATACAAATCAAAGTTGCTATTGTAAATCATCTTCTTCTCGAAATCCCGCGTGTAATACTGCCTCTTTATCTCGTCATCTTGCTCGTGAAACCTACGAACCCCACTCAACATCTCCTCCAAGATACTTTCACGTATACCGTGATTCACCACTTGGAAAAACCCCCAATCTCGACATGCATTCAGGATCTGGCCTTTTTCGACATTTGCGAGGTCGAAGATAGGGACGATTAAATCCGAGTCACTTTTTTTGGCGATATGTCGTAAATTTTGTGGCGGATGAATGAAAATACGTGGGACATGAGTGATGCCTGAGTCGACTAGGCCTTTGACGCCGGTTTTTGTGTCGTCAAAGGCTTTTAGTTCGGTTTTTCGGTCGTATTCTGGTTCTGTTTGAGTTATTTGGTTTTCTCGCTTGGTGTTGTTGGGCATCACCATTTTTTTATTTTTTTTCAAAATTTGCTGTGTAGAATAACTGAAGGAGACACTGTAAAGAGATGTGATTTGTTGATTGATATGGATATATGGGTATTTGGTGGTAAAGTGGAGTCCACGTTTGAAAAATTGCAACCACATATGTTTGATAGATTTGAAATGGGTGTTACTATCATTAAATGGCCATAAAGATTTACAAAACACAAATTTTGGCCACCTTTTGCTAAAAACATCTTTTATAGCTATTTTAGTATGTGTTTTTATTACATTACCCTTAACTCAATTTAACTCCACACAAATTATGTTTCCCTAATTCAATTCATTTCAATCTTCAAAAATTTTCGTTCCCTGCTCTACACTTCGTCCTCAAAAAATTTTCTTCAAATAATTCATCTTCACGACCGATTCTGAGCAAATCTGCAAAAATATTTCTTCAAAAAATCATCTTCATTCTTCTTTCTGAGCAGAAATCGAACACCTCACGAGTAGAAATCGAACACCTCTTCTGAGCAAATCTTCGACCGGGCCTTCACTCTTCACGACCGATTCTGAGCAAATCTTTGACTGGGCCTTCACTCTTCACGACCGAACACGACCTCGCCGTCACGAATCTTCACGAACCTCGCCAGAATTTGGTTTGAAATTGTTTTTTTTTTTTTTTTGAATTAGGGTTTTATTTGAAGAGATTTTTTAAACACGACCTAGCGCCTTGATGTAAGTTCCTCCAAGTCTCCCTTGTTCATCGTTTGTTTTCTGTTGGGTTTGTGAGTGGTTCACTTCTGCATCTTGAAGTATTTTGTTCTGTTGGATAGGCCTTGGAGTTGTTCAGGAAGCAACAAGTGGATTTTCTAATTGCTACGGATGTTGCTGCTCGTGTAAGAATAAGATTTTTCTTTCATGCAGCTAAACTAGTTGGGTGCTTAGAGTGGGTGTTTGGGAAGTGGGAATGAGAATGAAATGAGTAGTGCTTGATTGCCGTTGTTTATTGTTGAATCATTACCCCTACAAATTGGGTTTATGAAAAGTATTTACCCATTTCTTTCACTTCCATAGTTGTTCACATTCCTTTAATGTTACCAAGCACTCCCTATTATTAGAATTTTTATAAAGATCATTATATCCATGTGATGTTGCTCTGTTGTGTCCACTTTACTCTTGTATTTCATTTTTCAGGGTCTTGATATTATAGGAGTTCAGACAGTTATCAATTTTGCATGTCCTCGAGACCTTACGAGGTAATTTACTCTAATGGTTTACAAATTTAGTAGCGACTTCTTATATGCGGCTCTGCATTTTCAACTTGTAGTCCTTTCTATGAAAAAATGGAAATCATTCAACTATCCCACTGAGTCATTTGAAGGTGCAATTTTATCAACAATATTCATTTATAACAACCTTCCTATCAAAGAAAAACATCCTGTGACCATTTCTTGACATAACTACGATGGGAAAGTCATAAGTGAAGTGTCACTCTCCCGAAACTAAAATTATTGTTACTTCTATATTTCATGAAGTCAAACTAAATATTCCTGATATTGGTATATGCTATTGTCTACTTTGTAGATTTGTTATGGTGGGGTCAAATGGACTCTTTCATGGTTTGTTGTTTTCTTGGGACTTCCAAAAATGATGCCTTTCAATTCAAACCCAAATTTTATAACATTATCACTTCATGGCATTGATCACTCGGTTAGGTCAATGTTCCACACTTCTGTGAATTAGTGCAAATATTATGTATGTATTCTCTTGAAGGAAAAACTTCATTGGATGAAATTTACACTTGAGCTTTGGCCTTGGATATTGAATTAAGATGAAGCACATAACTAGGACTATGGCCCAAAAAATTACGTATGGAATGACTTCAACCATCTTGACAGGTTAAGAAAGCTGGTTCGAGGGCGACATGAGTGAGAGAAGGCAAAAAAGAACTTCTGCTTCTGCGCGAGGTGGGGGAAGAGGAAATCCTCCTTTTCGAGGGCGACATGAGTGAGAAAAGGCAAAAAAGAACTTCTGCTTCTGCGCAAGGTGGCGGGAAGAGGAAATCCTCCTTTAAGAGCAAGTCACGGTACGAATATTACTTGAAGACATTTGATTTCATTTATTTTGTTCATCCGTTGGCATGTTTATTGGTAATTTATATTTTGATGTCAGTTGGACTATCATCAACCTTGTGTCTAATAATTTTATGTTTTGATATGTGTATATGGTGTGGCCACTCATTTTAAAGTTTGTTGTTTTGGTATTTTGATCATTGCAACTCATTTTACTCTTCAGGTACAAGCGGCGGTAGTTTCGGCATCCGAAGTGTCATCTGCATGAATGAGCGGGTCTAATTATTCGGGCCGCAAAATGGCTTTGCCCTCTTTTTGGATTTTTTTTTCTAAATTATTGACTTCAAAATTAAACTATAAACGTACTTGTAGCTGATTTATGTTTGAGATTTTTTTTTCTCCTTGGATTCATGAACATCTATAGTCAAAATGTGCGAACAGATTTATTTATCTTGAGTTACTAGTTTACATATAAATATTTTTCAAGGAGTTCCAGTTTTTATATTAAGGCCGTTTTGCAATTTTTTTACATGCGTTTAAACACATGCAAACACAGACACACGCATTTCTAAATTCTAAACACTTGTGCAAGATAACATAACTTTTTAGATGAATTGACTAATTATATTTTTTTAACTATCAAATGTCCATTTTTGGAGAGTCGGCATGTTATTCTCGTCGAGCCACTTCTGAATCCGACAGTCGAGGCACAAGCAGTCGGCAGGGTGTACTGAATAGGGTAGGAGCATAAAACTCTCTTTCAATGTTTTATAGAAAGCTTCTCTCCTAGAAAATGAAAGAAAAATAGGGTTTATATTATATTGAACTTTAGCCTCATCTTCATAATCAAAAAACATTCGGAGCACCCTCATACATTTGTCCATATATTACCGATACTCCTAAATCTAATGAGTAAATCAATCTCGGATAGTTTTTGTGTAAAATTTTGAATTTCTAGGCTTCTTGTGAATGACTCATCACGATTTCACGAGTAGTTTTTTGTAAGTTCAACCACTTGTCGAACAGAAGGCTGCAATGTAAAGTGCTGCACTGTTTTCTCCATTGTGAAGTTTGCAAATTTTGGCGGGGACTTGGTATTAATGAATGAAGCTTGACCCCAACAAAGAAAAAGAGTACAAATTTGTGAAAAGAAAAAGATCGATAAAATTATGTCTCGTTTTTTGTCGATGTTCTAACTTTTTTACCATATCCTCCTCAAAAAAACATGTCTTATATATGATTCAATGTCTTATATAATAAAACAAATAAAATTTGAACCAGAATCGATTATTGGGATCGATTTTTTGTATAAAAAATCATTATGGGATCTAAAATGATTCCAAAAATCGTTTCTGGGATTTCTGGTTCCAGAAATCCCAGAAATCGACCAGAAATCGATTTCTAGTACCTGAAACTATTTCTGGACAAGAAATCAATTTCTGGTACCGAACATCGATTTCTGGTACCGAAAATCGATTTCTGGAACCAGAAATCATTTCTTGGATTTTGGGATTTCTGAGACCAGAAACATTTATGATTTCCCGGAAATCGATTTCTAGAACCAGAAATCATTTCTTAGATTTCTGGGATTTCTGGGACCAAAAACCATTTCTTGTACCGGAAATCGATTTCTGGGACCGGAAATCGATTTCTGGACCCAGAAATCATTTCTTGGATTCTTTATTTTTTTTTTTTATATATATAAAAATAGGTAGTAAGGGTATTTTTTTCTTTTTAGGTGCCAAAATGGCTAAAAAGATGTTTTTTGCAAAACATGGCTAAAAAAAAAATTCTCTGTTTGAAATGGTGTTTGGCAGATGAAGTACAAACTCTAAGGCGTGGGTGGTGGCAAATTTCGTACCTATCTATGGGTGACTGTCCCATTGCCTTTATAATAATTGATTTACACTTAAATACATAATACAAAAGAGAGATTCGAATAGGGGGATTTGCGAGAGGACAAAGAAAAAATACACGTACAAAATTAAAAGTAGAGGTCGCGTACTTAATGAATGTCGACATCTTAAAAGATGGCGAGTATTGAAGGTGAAAATTGCTCAAAGGAATGAGCTCGAACGACGGAACACGGCGGCGGCAACAACTTCTAATCGCAAACGGAAGTGTAGAAAGTATAAGAGAACAAGTAGCAACGGATCAAGAAACTTTGACGGCAAAAAACAGTTGAAGAAATTTTTTTAACTATATTGCACAAAGTACTTATATTAACAATTAAATAAATCGTGAATCTTGATGGGTCCCTATTCAATTTGTCTTTGACTTGATGCTAAAATGTAAAATGGAGAATGGAGTCTAGTTATTTGATTCGTGTTTTTATTATTATTAACAAATATACCAAAAATAATATACAACCATCTTTCTATAATTTTTTGTGTGAGTTATTACATAAACAAGTCATTTTTAAATATAATTTATTAATTTTAAAAAGCCTAAATGTCGAAGAGAGAACGACAGAGTAACGAGATAATGCGTATGTGTCTGTTTTGTAAAAGAAATGAACTTGTGCCTTTTATAGGTGGGGTCATGTACAGGCCGAAGAGTTCTTGCCGGACCAGAAGATTTCCTCGTGTTTATCTCTAAATTAGGTCATATATATCCAGAACTTCAGATTTCTCATCGGTACAAAGCCACCTCCAGGCTCTGGTCCCCTCGACAGGACCCTCTGGTCGAGCTGCCTAGGTGCCGAGGTGCCTATACGCGGAGCTGCCCAGGCACCTAAGCGCTGACCCGCTTAGGTGATCACACCCGCCTAGCTTACCAACCTCTGGTACTCTGCCTAGCTAGTCCTCGCCAGGGCCGGCTCCTTGGGGAGGCAGCCTAGGCCCATGCCTAGGGCCTCCCCTTATATTTGGGGCCCCATTTTTTTTCAATACTATGTATTTGTGATGAGTTTGACCCATTATACAAATGAAAGGGCTAATTAATGATTGGGTTAATGACAAAATATATACTTTGTGTGAAAATTTGAGGTCCTAGGTATTTCATTTGTTTTCTTATGATGTTCGGTCAGAACAGTTGTGTGAGAATAAACATTCTTTGTAGTGATATGATTTTTATTTTCTTCTCCTTGTTGTTTTAATGCTGATTGAATGTAAATTATTAAAGATCTTTGTAACCCATAGATAATTTATTAATTCCAAAGTCTAGAAAAACAAGATTTTTCTTTTCAATTGTTTATTTATTTAATAGTCTTTTTTAATTAGGTTTTTTTCTTCTATGATTCTATCTGCAAATAGCCTAATTTAATTATCATGCAAGTTCAAATTGGGAAATTCGAAAAGGAAAAACTTGTCTAGGGCCTCCATATTTCTGGAGACGGCCCTGGTCCTCGCCTAGCTCCCATCCACTCCAGAGGTACCATGAAGCATGCCCATGCCAAGCTACCTCATCCCTGGGGCGGTCGCGCCTAACTGTGGCTAAGTTTGACCTATGACCGGTCCTCTATGAACCGTTACTTTTTTAGTCATCATTTTAAGTTATGTTATTTTATAAAGAGTTCCTTATGGATTATCTTCTTACGTATAAATGTAGAGTTTTTTTTTTTACTAGAACTTTCAAATTTAAACACTTGGTTAACTTATATTATAAATATATTTTAAAAGTTAATAACATTTATATTTATTATCATTTTTTATATATGATAAACTAAATTAATCATATTTTGACGATCAATAGTTTGACATTAATATCTTATATATAAATTAAAATAATTAGATTTATCGAATCTCTATCAATAAAAATTTAAATATTTCGTAACTATAACTGAAAACAATAAGTTTATATATCAAGCCTATTATAAGCCTATTATATGGTATAGATACTAAAAATATTGTAATATAATGCAGTCCAGTGAGGTGTATCATTTTAAATAAAAAAATAAA